TCCTTCCTTCCTTCCTTCCTTCCTTCCTTCCTTCCTTTCTTTCTTTCTTTCTTTCCCACCGCTTGCCCCAGCCCCGCTTCCAAGACGCCGGAGTCCTGAAAGAGGAGCTTGCCTGAGCGTCGCAGCTCCAGGTCCCCGGCCGGGGGGGGGGTCGCTCTCGAGGTGGGGTGGGGGTGTCACAGGGAGGGAGCCGCGCGTAGCGGGTAGCTGGCCGGGTGGCTTCCTTGCTCCCCTTCCCTCGGAGGAGGCAGCAGTCGTCCGCCGCCGTCTCCCGCGGGGCTCCAGCCTCCCGTCCGAGTCCCCCAAGCGCGGCGCCGGGAGGGTTAACGCGCGCGGGAGGGAGGGCAGGAGCGCGCGCCGCCGCCGCCTCCTCCTCCTCCTCCTCCTCTCCCGCCGCTCCGCCGGGTCCTTCGCGCGGGGCGCTGCGTGTGCGGAGCCTCCCCGGTCGCCGCGGCTGCCCCGGGGAGCCCTTGCCCTGGTCAGCGATGGAGACGCTGCCATGACAACCCGTCGGTGGGCGCGCGCGGGAGGGACCGCGGAGCGGAGGCGCCCGGCGAGCGGGGCGAGAGGCGCGGGGATGCCAGAAGTAGCAGCAACGGCGGCGGCATCGGCGGCAGCCTCCCGCCCGCCTCTCCCGCCCGCCCGCCTTCTGCCTTGAGCCGCCGGGGGGCGGTGGCGGCGGCGGCAGCGGCAGCGGCAGCCTTCCCAGCCGAGCCGGAGAAGCCCGGACGGCTGAGGACTGAGACGACCGAGGGCGGCGTCGAGGCTCCGGGGCTCCTTCGGCCGCTCGGCTTGGTTTGGCGAACGAGTGAGCGAGCGAGCGCGCAGGGGGCAAGAGCCGCAGCCGGGCGCCTCCCGTCTCCTTTGGCTCCGACGGGCGCTCCGCTGCCCCAAGCGCCCCGCGGCGGGGACTCTGCGCCTCGCCTCGCCTCGCCCGCCTCCTCCTGCCTGTTTGCCTGCCTGCCTGCCTGCCTCCTCGGCGGCGGCGCAGAAAGTTTGGCGGCCGGAGCCGCGCAGGCACTTAGCCCGGCTTCGGAACCCAGACCGAGAAGGAGAGCCCGGAGCTTCCCGTTGCCCGGGACCGGACGGCCTCGCCATTTGCGCCTCTCCGGGAGCCCCTCGAGCCGCTGCTGGGCGCCCCGCGTCTCCGGAGCTGGATTTCTCCCGGGCGCCCCGCTAACCGTCCATCCGCAGAAGCGCCTGGGGCTCCACTTGCTCCCCGCTCGCCGCCACCGCCGCACCGTCTCCCTCAGCCTCGCCCTCCCGCTCCCGGCGCAGTCTATCTTAGCCTGGAGGGACGTCTCCGCATCCCAGGATGGGGCTGGTGGGGGGCTTGGTCCTGCCCTGGCGGTGCCTGGTGGTCGTGTGTCTCAGGCTGCTCTTCCTTGTGCCCGCAGGAGTGCCGGTGCGCAGCGGAGAGGCCACCTTCCCCAAGGCCATGGACAACGTGACGGTCAAGCAAGGAGAGAGCGCCACCCTCAGGTAGGAGCAAATCGCTTTGGGCTACGCTTGCTGACTGCCGGGGGGGGTCTCTTGCTATTGGGGGTGGGGGTGGGGGTCGTTTCCCCCTCCGGGGGGGGCAAATCAGTGACCAGCGGGTGGGGATCAGTGCGAAAGGAACCTCTTCCGTTGTCCCAAGCCTGCTGGAGCTCCTGCTCCTGGCTGGCACTGCCCACCCAGGTGGTTGTGATGTGGTACCCAGCACGGAGTTGCTTGCTTGCTTGCTTGCCTGGTTGGAGAGGCAAATTCTGGGAAGGATGCAAAGACATTGCCTCTGGGTACAGGTGGGGGCGTTGAAAGAGCATTTTCAAGGCTGCCGTGGTCCATTTATGTTGATGCTTGCAAAGGAATATGATCGTGGTAGCCATGGTGGAACTCTTGGCAAGAGCACTGTGAGAGGGAAGGGAAGGGAAGGGTGAGGCCTTTCCTTCTGCGTTTTAAAAAGGTGGGTGCCGGGCAGTTGCATAGCTGAGTTTGTGTCAGCTTGCAGGATGGACACCTTTAAAAGAAGTTCTGGAGATGGCTTGAGTGCCAACTTGGGTATGGACGGTGTCTTGGGGTCGTATTTGTGAACACATGGGTGAGAAAAAAAGGGGCAGGTCTGCATTGCATATGCTATTCCTCTCCCCTCTCCCTGCTCTCCAATTCCTGCCTCTGGTTCTAACTGGTTTCTGGGACTTTTGATGTCTCTCCCAAGATTGCATCGATCGCTTTATATTTTCTGGACCGATCTGTTAATATCACATCAGTCTTTGACTCCTGGGGCAGCTTGGGTGAATTCTGATAGGGTTACCCTCTCTCTCTCTCTCTCTCTCTCTCTCTCTCTCTCTCTCTCTCTCTCTCTCTCTCTCTCTCTCTCTCTCTCTCTCTCTCTCTCTCTCTCACACACACACACACACACACACACACACAGAGGGAGAGAGGGAGGGAGAAAGCGCTTTATTTTGCACTCCTTGGCTGAGAAAGAGATGTAAACTGGCTCATAAACAGATGCCTTACTTTTGGTGCATGTGTGGTTGGGTGGTTGGGATCAGACATGCAGCCAGATTTCTCTTTGCCTTCCCTGAGTGAATTTACAGGTGTGGTATTTGTGCAAAGGAAAAGATGGGGAGAGTCTTGCTTTGAGAAGATCCCCCCAAAGGCACCCACAAGCTTGCAAGAAGCAATGGCTGGACTCATCATCTAGATGAGCAAAGGGATGGATAGTCTAGCCCTTGTACCAGAATGAAAACAGGATGAGTTTGGGAGCATCTGAAAGAGAAATAAATTCAGTGAGTTGAAGTTCAATTTCTCAGTTAGAGAGAATCTTCTGAATTGGGTGTCTACACATAGTTGAGAAGTGGTCAGAAATGGAACCACATGGCTTGCCCAGTGCATTGTATGGCCACCAGTGGAAATGGTCAAGTGGTCATCTCAGCTGTAGGACTTTAACAGCAGGTTAAAACAGGGTTGGTTAGTGAGTAGAAATCTCAGCAGAAATCCCAGACAATCCCAGCAGAAATCCCAGACAATCCCAGACAATCCCAGCAGAAATCCCAGACAATCCCAGACAATCCCAGCAGAAATCCCAGACAATCCCAGCAGAAATGCCAGACAATCCCAGACAATCCCAGCAGAAATCCCAGACAATCCCAGCAGAAATGCCAGACAATCCCAGCCAATCTCAGCAGAAATCCCAGACAATCCCAGCAGAAATGCCAGACAATCCCAGACAATCCCAGCAGAAATCCCAGACAATCCCAGAAAATCCCAGACAATCCCAGCAGAAATTCCAGCCAATCTCAGCAGAAATCCCAGACAATCCCAGAACTGGACCAACCAGAATGGTTTATAATTGGCTTTGGTTCAATCTATACAAGCAGCAGTGTGTATTGGTTTCTACTGGTGAGCCTTGCTTTTAAGAGTTTATTCCATGCAACCTAAATTCCATGCCCATACATCATAGAGGAAAAAAAGGTATTTAAATGACGGTATTTTCCAAAGTCTTCATGAAGCTGTGCTTCGGTGTTGGGTGTTTGTAATAATCTAGGTCTCTAATCTGTGGCTATCGTTATTTCATTAATATGTGTCAGCGGGTGGTGTGAGGGAGGCACAATGCATTTGCATTATATAACAGTGATCGGAAGCGCTGAAGCCTGGAGAGATGGTTTCATTTCTTCAAGAATTTACCGTGAGGATTTCACATTACCCTGTGTATGTTTTAGAGTAGCCTTTCTCACCAAGAAATCAGTCCGGGCTTTTTGTCAGTTCGAGCCTGACATGCCCATCAGCCATCTCACTGTGCAGGTGAGAACTCACTCTGAGCTCTTTTGTGTTATAAAGATAAGGTTTCTGAAAGATCTCTTTGGACAAGCCCTTCCATTTTTTCACCCTTCCAATGATAGCCCTGCGCAGTGGGTGGCACCCCAAATCTCCTCATGAGCTTTCATGGGTGAGGGCAAATATAAGCAGCTTTCTGTACTCTACTGATGGTTTACCAAAGGAAAGAGACCACTCAATTGCAACCAGTAAACTCAAGTCTCTCTCTCTCTCTCTCTCTCTCTCTCTCTCTCTCTCTCTCTCTCTCTCTCTCTCTCTCTCTCTCTCTCTCTCTCTCTCTCTCTCTCTCTCTCTCTCTCTCTCTCTCTCACACACACACACACACACACACACAAACACATTTAATCAGAAATAAGGTCCACTGGACTCAGAGGAATTGACTCAGAGGAATTTATTTCCGCATAGAATAGACCTAGTTTAGGAGCATCTCCATGCCTGACGTAAATGGGTTTAACACTACTCGTTGCATCTCTTCAACTGTAGCTTTTTTCGGAATAAGGTGAGGGATCACCAGGAGGATTCTCAGCCCATCCATTAGGGAAGATTCTTGGCATTGGATCCTTGAGACGCAAGTGAGGCCAGCTTTGTTGTAGCCTCTTGATCTCTCATCAGCAATGACCAAAAATTCCAGAACAAGTCTTGTCATCTGTTGACTTTGTTCTTCATTATGTTTTATTTATGGACCAATTTCCTGGTGTCCATCAAGGCAAGGTTTCCAAGGAAACATTGTAACCCTACAACCGGACGTGGCTGTGGTAGCAGGATACGCTCCAGCAGATGAATTAGTGTTAGCATCTCTGTTTTCCCACCCGTGAAATGGACCTCCCTTGAGGAGCTACAGAGAGAATCCAGGGTAGTATGAAATTACTTTGCTACAATAAATCCACCTTTCCCCAAGTGCCAGTGTATTGTTTCCATTGTCCATTTGTGTTTATTTTTTTGTGTTGGGTTTTTAAGAGAGATGTGTACATTAAGATTGCGCTAAAGAAGGGACATCAAACTGGCAATGTCACATGACGTGTCCTGATGTATCACAACTTTTTCTCCATTGCTGGCAATCGGGTGGGCGCAGTTTTGCCATGACGCAACCGGCCCGCGTACTGGCAGTTTGACACACCTGCGCTAAAGGGTGGTACGATGGCAAGATGTTTAGGAAACCCTGATTTAATCTTGTTTTGCTCTTTTTTTAAAAAAAAAACTCAGATGTTTTGTGAATCTAGCCCAACTGTTATTTTTCAGCCTGGACTACTGCAATGCTCTCTACATGGGGCTCCCCTTGAGGAGCATCCGGAGGCTCCAGCTAGTCCAGAATGCGGCCGCGCGGGCGGTGTTGGGAGGGACTCGTCGCTCCCATATAACACCGCTTTTGCGTGAGCTGCACTGGCTGCCGGTGGCCTTCCGGGTGTGCTTCAAGGTGTTGGTTACCATGTTTAAAGCGCTCCATGGCATCGGACCTGGGTATCTCCGAGACCGTCTTCTGCCGCAGATTGCCTCCCATCGACCGGTACGCTCCCACAGAGCGGGCCTCCTCAGGGTGCCGTCGGCCAAACAGTGTCGGCTGGCAACCCCCAGGGGGAGGGCCTTCTCTGTGGGAGCCCCCACCCTGTGGAACGAACTCCCCCCAGAG